TGTTCTTTTTTACTGAATGAATTCATGTGATTGATGTTTGGAGAGAGGTTCAGACTGGGAACCATGGGAGGTATATTTGACCCAACCTGGTGACTGAAGAAAGTCTGGATAGAACTGAGTCTTCTAGAAAGAGTAAGAATGAACCAGGTGAAGAAAGGTGAAAGATGCCCTAGGCAAATGGATTAGAAAAGGCCAAAGTTGGTCTTCCAACCCTCCAACCCTTCCAACCCTCACCATACAACAATATGGTGAGGGTTGGAAGAAGCAGGCAATGGAAGGGAGGAAATAACTCTATGCCAAGAGGTAACATAGCGGAAATGAATCTGGAAAAATGGGAAGGGCCTGGTCAGGAAGGAAGTTATGAGTTGTGGTAAGAAGTATGAAGTCAATAGTGCTTTTCAAACTCTGGTGGGGTTGGGGAACACATTCTGAGAATTTTAAGATGGTATAATTCATTTTGATGAATTATTTTTAAAAGCATACTACCATTTATAAAGAAAATATTTTTCTTTAGCAATGACATACAAGATTTTAGTTTCCTAATTTAGGGCTTCACAAAGTAGGGTCTGATGATTAATATCTGAGGAACATCAGGCTAGAAGATTTATACATAAACATTCCTGTAGATTATAAAACAATTCCCTATTCATGATGAAACCTCATAGTAGATTATAAGTATTGGTTCCCTTTTATCTATGTTCTTACTTGTTTAACCCTCTAAGAACTCTAATGCATATGCCAGCAACACTTTCATCTTGCAAAAATGATTGCCTTTCTGTTTAAGTGTTCAGTAAATGTATTGCAGATATAACCTAGTTACCTACTATAGAAACAAGAATAGTAACCACTCAGTAATGTTCCAAGTTCTGCATAAGACCTTTCTCATGAACTTAAATCCCATTTACAATTCACTAATGCTGCAGCACAGGGCCTTTTTGTAGCAAAATGTCTCATTTTATCCAATTATTTCAATAGTCTCAAGGAGATGGCATTAGAACAAAGGCATTAATCAAAACTAATTTGTTTGGTCCACTTCTGATTAACTATAAAAAACGTTTACCTTTGGTTATAAGAGAAAACAGATTGTAGATCTTGGATGCACTAGTTCATGCCTCAAGGTTTGTAACTTGCTGCTGCTTCTGTAGGAAAACAACCCTCCATTTTTTTACTCCATAAAAGGTTCTTATGGCTGACCCATTTTTATTCATTATATTTCCTGGAAGAGGTTGTCCCCAACTACTTTACTTAGAATTTGTAACCCAACTCCCACAAAGTTACTCTCCTTCTATTATCCTGTTGCTTTCTTCATAGAGTTTATCACAACTTATCATTGTTTTATCTCTGTCTCTCTCATGAGACTGTAAGCTCTGTAAGGTAGGCATCAGGTCTGCTGTATCCCCGGTGGCCTGCACATAGAGGATGCTTCTTCAACGCTGGCACAGATGTCAATGTGTAACCTCTCTTGGGAAAAAGCACTTAATGGGTCATGCTTTCCTAGGGGTCATCTTGGCACAAAGTTTTATTAAGATTCCTTCATGAGCTCCTTCCCACAAAAGTGCTAAACATGTAGCACACATTTTAAAAAAATGTGTCATTATATAAAATTTTTAAGGCAAGCTGACCTTTTTCTTTTCAAAAAGAGAAATGGTTAATAGCAGACTCAGATCTGGGTATGAACCATATAAGAACCTGGGACAATCTTACGCTAGAAAGCAAAAAAAAAAAAAAAAAAAAAAAAAAAAAGAGAAAGAAAGAAAGAAAGCAAACTGTCAAGACTGTTAGAGTCTGTTTTTTGTGGGGTTTTTTTGTTTTTTTTTTTTCTTTTGACACGAGGCAACTTGAAGGGGCTCCTATTGCCCAAAAATGGGACAATTTGAGCACCAATAAGAATAATGACTGCAATGGGTTGAAGCAATTCAAATACAGTACATTAAAATCACAAATCCAGAATCTTACTTAAAACTGGTTAGCTTTGGAGTTTCCTAAGGGCACAACTCATTCTCCTAAAAATTGATAAATAGGAGAAATTTATCCTACCTTTCCTTTGCTAGCTTTTTAAGTTAGCCAAAGAGTTGAAGAGAGAAAGTTCTTCTCCATAGACAATTTCTAACTAATAAGTGCAGAAGAAATTATAAGAGGAGAAAAACCACAATTTGTAACTCCTAATTAGAAAAAATCGCTTGAGGTAAAACTCACAAATGTTGAAAAACATCCTGTGAATGGTTGATGGGGAACTTTATAATGAACCAGTTAGACTGATAATGCCTGAACTTCTGATCAACTTAACATCCCCAAAGATGAGACAACCAGACATTATGGTTTTCTGATGGGATACACATCACATCACATTCCCTATGTGTGCTCAGTACCATCTAGGAACTATTCTTTGTCAAAAAAAAAAAGTGAATCTGCATCTAATCAAACCTCTAGAACTAATCATCATTGCAAATGACACCATGAGGTTGCAATCAGCCATGCGGGATATTCTACAGGACAAATGACCCAAATCCTTTAACAAGTAAATACCAAATTTAAAAATGAGTGGGGACAAACTGTTTTATTAAGAGAGTCTTAAGAGATCTATCAACCAAATTTAATATGTGGACATTGTTTTAAAGTGATTTAAATAGACAAACTACAAAAAATGATTTTTAGGCAACAGTAGAAAAATGAACAAGAATTGGGTATCAGCTCACATTAACAAATTATTGTTAAATTTGTTGGGTGTGACAATGGCATGATGTTTTTAAAAAGTTATTTGTTAGAGGAAGGTACTAAAATAGTTACTGGTGAAACATGATGCTTGGGATTTGCTTTGAAATGCTCTAGAAAAATAAAAGTGTGTGTGTGTGTGTGTGAGAGAGAGAGAGAGAGAAAGAGAGAGAGAGAAGATGGAAGAAACAAGAATGACAAAAGGTTGATGAATGTTGAAGCTGGATGTTAGGAACAGAGGGTTCCTCTGCTTTTGTATTTGTTTGAAAATGATCATGCTTAAAATTAAAAGCTGATTTTTGTTTTAGAATGTTTTCACATGAAATGCAGTAAAAATACAAAAGAACTTATGAACATTAAAAGAAAAACATTGAAATGCATTCTCATGTATCAATAACCCAGAGCAAAACATCCAACATTACTATTTCTAGAGGTCTCCTTTGGCGCCTCCTTAAATACTTCATCCTTCTTCTTCCTAAGAGATACTGTTTTGAATTTTATGTTATTTTACTCTTGATTTTCCTTATAAAAGTTTTTTAAAACTACTCTTGCCCTTATTGTTACATAACATACTGTTTAGTTATTTTTTCTGTTTTTGAACTTCATACAAATGGAATCATGCTTTATGCATTCTGTTGACTTGCCTTTTTCATTCAACATCAATTTTGAAATGATCCATGTTGATGCTTTTAACTGTAGTTTATTCATTTCTGTTTCTGCAAAGACTTCCAATGTGTGCATATACTAAAACCTTTTTAATCCATTCTGAAGTTGGTAGACATTTGAGTTATTGTCTGCATATTATGAACATTCCTGTACATTTCTCCTGGTGCACATATAAAATAATTTATTTAAGATATGTACCTGTTACTGTGTTGTAGGAAACACGCAAATGAAATTGAGGAATGCCAAATTGTTTTCTGAAGTGGTGGTTAGACCAATTTATACTTCCTCCAGTAAGCAGTGTTTTCAGATTTCCCCCCTTCCACATTTTTACCTACTCTTAATATTTTTAGAGTTCTTAATTTTTGTAAATCTGGTGAATATGAAATGGTATAGTATTATTATTTTAACTTGTATTTCTCTTATTAATAATGAGCATGAGCATCTTTTTATGTGTTTTCTGGATATTTCTGCTTCTGTGAAATACACATTCATTTTGTTCATATTCTAACAAGTTATCTTTTTCTTATTGATTCTTTATACATTCTGTATATTAACCTTTTTGTGCTATATGTATTACAAGTAAGTATTTTGTGACTTTTATCACTCTTTATAAAATCCTGCAGTGAACCAATGTTCTTAATGTTAACAGTCAAATCTGTCAGTCTTACACTGTTGTTCCCCTTATTTAACCAATCTTTCCTATTTCAGGGTCAACAAGATACTCCTCTATATTGTTTTCTAACAGCTTTATACTTTTGTTTTTCGCATACAGGTCATGATTCACCTCAATTTTCCCCCCTCCTCCCTTGGTATGTGTGAGGCAGGGCTGCTATTTCAGTTTTTCCATATGATTGCCAGTTGACCCAGAATCATTTATTGAAAAGTTCATTCTTTCTCCACTGCGCTATAATACCAACTCAGTCATAAATCAAGTGTCTATATAAGTGTGGGTCTGCTTTTGGGTTCTCTAAAACAGGCTGAATTTCCATCATCCAGAAAAAAACAGTAAGTAGAACAGTCTAAGTTTGGTAGTTTCCCTTATTACCTCAAACCTAGAACTTCTGCGATTGTTCTCGATTTACTTCTCTTCCTTCTGTCACTCTTCCAAACCATCATTCCTAGTCTTCCTAAAGCACAATTTAGTTCATGTCAGTTCTCTGTTTAAAAACATTAAAGGGGCCCACATTGAAACAATATGGGAAATATTTTAGGCTCCCCTAGTCTGACAGTGACCCACTCCACCTTTCAGGTCTGCATGCACCTCAACAGTGCCTACAATATAGCAAACACAGTAAATATTAGCTTCCTTATAGGATTTTACATAGGTAAATGAGAGGGACATGATTTGCCTCCTGGCAGACCCAAAATGTTCTCACCTATACTTACATTTATTTTTTGTCAAACATGTATGATCTAGAAATTTGTCTAAACCATATAACGATTATAAGGGCTTCCGGTCTCTATTTTGTCATTGTTTTAAAGTATCTTACTAAACCTGTTTTAAAATGTTATATAAAAATAATAACTGTTTAACAAAATAATGCATTCCAGTTGAGTTTAATTTACCTTGTGCTATTAACGAAAGACTCTCCAAAAACCAAAATGAGAAAGTAATCAAGGTCTATTTAATAACAAACACAGTTTTTATTATATTTTATTAGATGTGCCAGAACCCTAATTTGGGGATGCTTGCTTACCTATGCTATCCGTATGTACGTTTTGGTATTAGCTCTCTTTTTGAGCTGGAAATACAAAAGTCTTCTGCAGGCAGCTTCGGGGACCAATTAACTCCATTAAATTATATTCGGTTATGTAGTGAACTGAACCACTGCTGGTCTGGGGCTGTCTAGAGCTGCGACAATTAGGAGATGGAGAGAGGCAGAAAGAGAGATTGATTTTATATGTCACTGAAGCACACTGCAACAATATGCCAGCGTGACTTTCAAAATGGCCTTAAAATATTCCAAACTCAGGGAGTTTCCTTGCTCCTGAGTGGGAGTTGACAGACTGTCTGGCAGCATTAGAAAGAGGCAGAGAAACGCTGATGTCTAGATTGTGTCCTCTAATAACATTCTGCCTCTTTGCGGCATCCCCCCCTTAGAAGGATCCGTCTATTTGTTGTGAGGGGTGTGTGTGTGTGTGTGTGTGTGTGTGTGTGTGTGTGCTTTGCTTCCCCTTGTGCAAGGGGCATGATTTCACCTCTCACATCTGGGAAAACCAAACCGAAGGACGCTAACCCTCCCAAGGTCACCTAGAATAGTCTTGTGGCCCGGGGTAGGTGGTGGGTGCGAGGAACAGAACCCAGGTGTCCGGACTCCAGCTTTGTTGGGCATTAAATCATTTTCCTTCCCCTGTGAAAAAAATTACCGGGCGATGGGAAGTGAGAGATTAATCAGATTTCCTCTTTTCCCTTATTTCCCCTCCCCCTTACGAAGATAAAAACTCGGGAAAGCAGAAGAGGTGCCCGCCCTGCAGTTCTTAAGCTGGGTCTCCCCCTATTCCCCCTCCACCCTCACTCCCACTCCCATTTCCCCACCCCCGACACAAAGCGATCTGGACTCCCAGGGCTTCCGCCAGTCCAACCGCGAGCCTAGGAGGTGAGGAGTGGTTAAAACTCAGCCCTCACCTCCGCGGGTCCCGGGCTCGGCGTCGCCCAGGCCCCGCCCCCGCCCGCCCTTCCCCCACGGCCTCGGAACGCCAGCCCCTCTCCTCTCTCCCATTCGGGCGCACCCACCCCAGATGCCGCCTGGCACCGAGCGCAGCCGCCGCTGCCGCACTTTCCACTTGTATTGATCACCTCTCAGCCCCGCGCAGCCAGCTTCCCCGAGCGGACCGCGGCCAGCGCGCCAGCCCTTGGCAGCCTCGGAGCAGTCGGGCTCCGGGAGGAAACTCCTTGGGAGCGCCCTGTCCGGGGTGCCCTCTGCGCTCTGCAGTGTCTTTCTTTCTGCCTGGGAGGAGGAGGAGGAGGAGGAGGAGGAAGAGGAGGAGGAGGAGGAAGAGGAGGAGGAGGAGGAGGACGTCTGGTCCCGGCTGGGAGGTGGAGCAGCGGCAGCAGCAGCCGCCGCCGCCGCCGCCGCCGCCGCCGCCGCCGGAAAGGGAGAGGCAGGAGAGCCCGAGACTTGGAAACCCCAAAGTGTCCGCGACCCTGCACGGCAGGCTCCCTTCCAGCTTCATGGGCAAAGTGTGGAAACAGCAGATGTACCCTCAGTACGCCACCTACTATTACCCCCAGTATCTGCAAGCCAAGGTAAAGGGGCACCGCGGGGAGATGACGGCCGGAGGAGGGGGTCCGGGGGTGCGCGCGGGGTCGGGCCCGGGGAGGGGCGCGCAGCGAGCCCCCGCCGCCCCCGGGCGGAGTTGCTGGAAGGTTGCTAACTATAGCGCTGGCCTGGGCAGAGCCGGGCGGCGCGCGGGGCGGCGGCTTCCCTGGGAGCGGAGTGCGGGGATCGGGTTACAGAAAGGCGCGGGGGGAGAGACTAGACAGGAAAGAGCCACCAGCCCCTTCCTGGCCCGGCCAGCGGGGAGGGTCGCGGGGCCGAGCGGCGCCCCTCGCCGAGCCCTGGCCGGCCGGCCGCCGTCGCCTGGCGTCCGCGTCTGGATCCGCTGGTGGCCCGGCTTTTCGACCCTTTCTCCAAGGGCCTCGCCCTGTAAGCTGTAACTCTTTGCTCCCCTCGCCGTGACGCGGAGCCTCCCGCCCCCCAGGGACGCCCCTCCACCTCCCGCGCGCGCGGCGACTGGGGCTGGAGGGGCGGCGGGGCCGGGACATTTTCCTCCCCGCCTCCGGCCCTGCGCGCCCGCCCCTCGCCTCTGATCTTTGTGCGGTGTGGCACTTCACCTGGTTACTGATTTCTACTTTTACGCTGGTGTTTTGGGTAGAAAAGTGGCCAAAGTTCACTCGCGTTCATTGATGTCCCTTCTAATCTCTAGAGGTTTTGCAAAGGAGGTACAATGGGCAGATTTCAGTGCAGAGAAAGAAGTGACTTCGTATTTGGTTAAAAAAGAAACAAAAACAAAACTAGCTTATATGTTTGCCACAGATCGATTTCCAATGTTGCTTTTTAAAAAGTGACCTCGGCACACTCTGGGTAACAACATCTGATGACATGTAGTCATACAAATTGCGCCTGGCTTTCTAGGGACCCTAGGTACTTTGTTAGTGGGCCTATCTTATTTTTACAATAAGAATTTGATGCCTCCCGAACTCATTTAAAAAAAATTGTTTGGGCCATGAAGACTGGAAATTTCACTGCTTTGGAAGCAGCCGCCAGAATTTGGGAGGGTGGAAGTTGGACGCAGCGGCCTTCTTCAGCCATTAACATCTATCACAACTCCGGGTGCCCTTCTAGATCACAAAAGTATCAGGTATGGATGCAGTGTCCCAACTTTCTTTGGGAGGTTGTAATCACGCTCTGCTTGCTGGTAGTTGGGCATTTCCGGCCTGGTACAAAGAATCTCTGATTCAGCCTTTTCTTTCTTAGAATGTGTGTGGTCCACGTTTTCATGTACTTACGACATAGCCCTGTATTTGTCTACGTAAAAAGGACACTTGTCAGTATCGAGACCAGAAATGTCCTAGCACTCCAGGGCCTCATTTTCACTTCACCCAATTCCCACTCCACTTTGGGTCATCAGAAAGCAGCAAAATGGTAGCAGCAAGGATACCCCTTATTCATCTCTGTGTAGTTTTCACAGTATTTGTTTTAGGAACTTGCAGGAGATGCTAGTTTTCTGTGAGCTACATGGAAGGTGTTCAAAGAAATTTTGTGGCATAATCAATGCACTGCCTTTTAGATGTCTTATATATTTAATGCACTTGTTTAAATTATGCAGCATTGGGTGGCTAAAGGACAGCTTATTCAACACTTAACAATATGAATAATAAATATACCCACTCAGGTGAAGAAGAAGAAAAGCCGTGTTTCTACAGGCACATTTACCTTAGTAATTTTTATATACCATTAGTAAGTTAGAAACCAAGTCCATACCATTTAATGTAGCTAATGCAATGCCATTTGGCTTTTTTGCCCTGTAAATAATTGAAGAGAGAGACAAACGGCAAGAGCCTGCTCTAGTAATTAGGGTCGGATCCCAGAAAGCTTTACGGCCCATTTTCTGAAAGTGTGCTTCCTGCATAAAGCATTTAATATTGATTTGTGTTGCGGTAAATGACATTCTCAAAACATATTTTGCTATTTCTACAATTAAATCTGAAATCCTATTATTCCGAATTCCTTTGTTTCTGGAGAAAGGTATACATACTCACTTGACCTATATAACATGGTATTAAAGTTTGGTAATTAAGTCTAAATTCCCTGTTGTACAAGTATCTTGATTATCTCAGAAGGGGACAGCTTCTAAAAATGGCACGTGACTAGATGCAAATTTTAGGTAAGCAGAGTTCAGAAAAGGTAGCCCCTTTTTTTTCTCTCCCTTATGTATCTGTTGGTAGCATGGTAGTAGTGTTGAGTCATTTAAAAAAAAAAATAGACTTTGGTTTGTAGTTAGTTTGAAAACAAGTGTTGCCTAATCTTCCTAAAGAGTTAATAAACTCTCTTAGGATCTGCTGTCTGTCACGATTCTTGCCTCTGTGTGTTCTTTAACCTTCCTAAAATATGGGATAGAAAACATCACTCTGTTGAAAGTACAGTGATGTGTTTGCTAGGCAGAGTTGTTTTGAAATTTCTGTTTGGAAGCTATATCAAACACTGAAGAATGGCATGGCCATCTCAAAAGTGATATCTAATTTGTGCTCAAGAGATAGATGTGATTTTCTCAAATCTGATTCTTTTAATTAGAAGGAATAGATAATACCAGGTAAAATGGAACTTAACAGTTTGTTTTGTTATTGTACCTTTAAAAGTTATATATGTCAAACCATTCTTCTTGTTTTAGTGATCCAGTCTATTTTTGTAAATTTATTTTGTAATTTTCCCCATAAAAACATACTAGTTACTTCCACATTTTATTAATTAAAAAAAAAATACCATCTGTTGGGCTATATTGGAGCAAATGACCATATTGGTATACTTTGTGCTTTGACAGAAAGAAAAAAAAACATTAGAAAAAGTACTATATCTCCATGAAACATAAAATAAACTTGAGGGTACTATGGAAGAGCAGGACATGAGTGGAAATGAATGCGACTGTATAATATTCATAATACTTTGGTGTACACTTACATAAATTTCAGTAACCTGATTTCACATGCTGTTGGGTTTTTTTGTATTTCCCAGTGAGGATGGTCTTATCACAGCAGGTTCTTTTTTATCAGCTGACACATTCATTCTGAAATGTAGTTTGATGTAGTTTTGTAAACATAACCACATGTCGTCCTAAAGAATTTTCTCAATTTTAAAATGACCTATGCTGTATTATATTAAATTTAATATCCACCTTTTAGCTACATAGAAAAAAGATGTTGATAATCTAACATATTTTAACTTAAAGATTTGTATGTACACATTTTCAACCAGTGGCTGCATTAATTTCACTTATTGTAAAAGCAACCCTTGAGTTATGGTCGGTTTATTTCAAAGATACTAAGACATACATTATTGCCAGTGCATGAATGTAAATAGTTACGGGCATTGAAATACTCTATTTCTTTTGAAGAAAGGGAAGTACAAAATTTTCTTTCCATGATTAGTTAGCTACATATTTTGTACCAACTAAAAGCAATTTGATACAGTTGTAATCTTTATTCACATAGTTCTAAGAATATATTTCTATAAAATATATGGAAAGCTTGATTTTTTAAAGTTTTTGTGTATAATGAAGTATTGTTTTCCACACTAAATAAATGTCTACACAAAAGATATGTTTATTTCTAAAACAAAACATAATTTTGTTTTTACACCATTTTTACATAAGTTTATGACACAGAATATATCTGAGCCTAGCTTCAGAATCTGAAAATAATGAATGATATAATTTATTCTATTAATAAAGGCTACTAGAACAAAGCAGTTTTTCTGCATTGAACTTTTGCATGCATTTTTGGTTGAATTCCTTAACTCTTACTTAGTTATAGCCAAATGAATATTGATTGTATCAATCTGTTTCTCCAGAAATTAGGAGTCCTGATTTGATACATAAAACTGTTGCGTCTAATTAAGTGGAAGTACACAGGCATAATATTGAGACATGGTGCCCTTCGTATCATAAGAAGTAACCACATTTATGAGGTAAATAGAGTTTGCTTAAAATATGTCAGTTTGGTAATGCAGTATTTTACACTGATGAATCAACCTCATTTCCTTAAGTGAGTGGGGTATTATGTATGACTATCTGGAAGTGGTTTTGGAAGGCTGAAGGACATGTAACTGTTATAACGAAGATGCATTGTAATGCAACAGTGTAGCACCCTTCTCTTCCAATAACTATTTCTTTTGAATTTCCCATACAACCTTTTTTTTTTTTCCCCTTATACTGGGAGCCAAATCTTAAATTTCTTGAAGGGAAAAGGAAAAGATAGGTGAACTAGGAGAGTATTCAATCATTGAGTATCAGTATAACTATATATACCTTACATCTTTGGCAATCTTGGCTTTGAATTTTAATTCAGATATGGGGAATTTCCATGTAATATACTTTCAGGAAAAGAATTTTTACTGATATGTTGCTCTGACTTTGTATTTTGCTTAATGGTTTATTGAAACCATTTTGGCATCTAGCTTTTGAATTGGGACAGTGAAGTTTTATCCTATTTATTGGAATATTATAGAAACAATAGATTATTATAGAAATAAGAGTATGTCAAGTTACTCTCGAGTGGAAATGTTTATGCAATCTAAAATAGCTTATTTTAAAGAAATGTAGTAATGACATGTCAGTTATTCA